GCTCGGACCGGCAGCTGAACGGCTACGCAGAAATCCCAGGGGCCCGTCCCCCGCCACCCCAGAACTACTGCCAGCCAGTGCCCAGCAGTCGCAGGAGAGAGCCGCCCGCAGCACAAAGATGCGTCATCCCTGGCACCTCGAGTTGCTTCCCGCTGGCCCCTCCGGCCGACGTGCCCTACCCATCACACGTGAGTGCCAAGATGGGGAGCCCCTGATGGCGCCTCTGCATCGCTTCCCCTGCTGTCAGGTGTCTGTGCCCTAAGGGCCCTGGTTCTGATGATGCCAGGCAGACAAGGCTGGGTCTGCTTCTCCTGTCCCACTGCGGCTTACAGTCTGCAGGAGTAATGAGGGGCACGATTTCAGCCCAGTGTGCGGAGACGTGGAAGTGCAAGACTGGTTACTTTTATTAATGAGTCAGATCTCAAGGTCCCTATTTATGTCTTTCTTAGGCATTTATAACCCCTGATTACCACAGTGCCTTGCAAACCGTAATAGATTTATACTCATTGCACCCCCACGGGATAGGGAAGTATTGTCCTCATTTACAAAAGGGAAACTGAGGCATGGAGAAGCTAAATGACTTGGCTACAGTCACCCAGGAAATCTGTTCCAGAATAGGGACTTGAACCCAGGTCTAGATAGCTTAGTGCCCTACCTCCACTCCCCTCTATATTTGTAAGCTTTCCTGGGATTATCAACCCCACAGAGCCCTGAGCACATCTCTTCACAGGTCCCCGTGCTGGGAGGGATGGTATCATTATCCTCAGTCTAATGATAGGGCACAGAGAGAGAGAGAGATCAGAAGTTCCATGTAGCCACTATTTTTAGCCAGTCATACTTGGCCCCTCTGAAAACCAGGCCCTAAAGGACTTGACCAAGGTTGCCCAGGGAGTCTGTTGCAGAGCTGGGAATTGAGTGCAGATTGCTGACTCCACAAAGCCAGCCTTTCATAGCATCCTGACTCCTGAAAGCTGTAGGAGGCTGAAGCTGCAGCTCCTTGCCCAGGGGATATCTATAGATCTAGGGAAGCCCATTTTCCCACCCTGGTGTGACATGTGCCCAAGCAGGGCCTCTCCAAGGGTATGTCTACACTACCCCGCTAGTTCGAACTAACGGGGTAATGTAGGCATACTGCACTTGCAAATGAAGCCCGGGATTTGAATTTCCCGGGCTTCATTTGCATAAG